CCCCAAAACCCCAAAACCCCAAAACCCCAAAACCCCAAAACCCCAAAACCCCGAGTTAATGCTAAGTAGTTGAATTATAAGAAATACTTAAAATACATATGAGCAGCTAAAGAGCTTGCAAACGCATGATGTGTTGAGTACGGATATCCATAATCCACAAAGTAAGTGTCTGGGTATATCTTTCCTGTCTGGAGTACTATCCGCTTCTTTTCGTCTTGTTTGAATTTATACTCCATTTGAAAGTTCTTTCTGGATACTATTGTTGCTCTTCCTCTGTAATTGAGGCCTAAAGATAAGTTAGGATGTACCATATTCCTTGACTTGTTTAGGGCTGATGGAATTGCAGAAGACCCTGTCTTCTTCTTTGTTCAAGTCAATAGGACAAGGGGTCAGTAGACGAAGAGGCAGTGATTTTTGGTGCAAGATCAACTTGTTATTTCAGTGTGTTATTTAGGACTATTTCAGGCTTAGTTCTTTGGATTCATTCAAGAGTCGTTCAAGGACACCAAATGGAATACTCATAATTTATCTTAATGGAGGGGAAGACCATTTTGATATTAAGATACTGGATTTCTTCCATCAACATTTCTTCCTTGATGGTGAGATAGCCTAAATCCTGTGTGAAGGTATTCTGAATTGGATAGAGTCAAGGTAAATCCTCTTCTTGTCAATTATCTCAATTCCTTTGGAACAGCCTGAATAAGTGAGTTTTGTTTTTAGTAATTCCTTTATTTTCATACTGGGATAATCCATTCTAGTTTAAATTCAGCCATCTAAAGGGTTATAAAGATTTACTAAAGTAGAAAGTTCTGTGTAATTTTTCATAATGAGTTCAGCAATAAAGTCCTCTTTCCTCTTTAAATAGTAGAAATCATTAACTTCATCATCTTCATCAGGTGAATCATACGGCTCTTCTTCTGAGTCTTGGTTTTGTTTCTTCGATTTATTTATAGCCCATTACTTCATCTAATTCTTTTCGGATTGTTTTATGATAGTAGATCTTTTCAATATCTTGACCATTAAAGAACAGTATATTTGCTTTAATATCACTTGGTTCATTCTAAATTCTTATATCATTTTGCTTACAGGGATAGGGACCAGCTGGTAAACACCAATGGAGATCCTATGTCTTTCTTTCTCGAGGATGGGATCATTTCCATCATAGAGAAAATAGAAGAAATACTTGACTTTATTTCCCTTCAAGAGGGTTTTCCTCTAGGAAAAGCCTCTCCTCTTTCTGTTCTTCTCTGTTGTATTTCCAGGAATACTCTCTGATTCTATAATAGTGCTGAAGGAGCCCTTTCTTGTCAATACGATTTTTAACTGGGGTGTTCAGGTCCTCATCTATTATTTGGCTTAGAATAATAGGGAAACTCACCATTTTTGAGCCCAAGCTCCATAAGATCTTCAAGCTCTATAATATGGTAAAAATTCGGTTTATGGTAACTTAAACTAGGAATAAGCTTTTCAAGTGATTGCTCTTAGTAGCCATTTTGATGGCTTACTTACTATTTTTGAGATTTGATTCCATATTTATTATTTTTCAAAAATTTACATCTATTTTGGGGTTTTGGGGTTTTGGGGTTTTGGGG